CATATATAGGTACTACATGTGGACCTCTCTCAGATTTGTTCGTTTTGTGATGATATCTTCAATTCTCTAATTAATTTATTTTGGTGAATATTTTTGTAATTTTTGGTAAAAAGTGATATTTTCGACTTCTTGTTAAAAACTGTAAGTCCGATTGCTTTGATACTATTCATATTGTTCATTTTCTAATGATGTCTTCAGTTCTTTAATTGAAATGTGCATTGCTAACAGCGGAGCTATCTCAGCCGATAGGCTGCTTGTTTATAATTATAAGTGGATTTTATGTGGCTAATCAACCAAATCAGGGAACGACGTTTTAGGGCAATTCATTATTAAAAATTATCTATGTGAGTAATACTACAAAATTTGCGAAACGAGGTCGACGAAAGACCGACGTCACTTGTATTTCCTCAGCGTCGACTCCCGGTAAATGTAACAGTCCGGGCACAGTTTACATAAATAAATGAAAGTATCCGTGTTCCCAGGTGTGTATCTGTTTATTTATACAGTGAGATTAAAATCACTGTTTGTTCTCTCTCTAGGATGGCTAACGCCCACTAGATTTCCGGTCATGTTCGTTCGCCCACTTCAAAGTATTCGTCAAATCCCCGCCCTAAAATAAGTATTACACAGAAAGGACAGTTGCCAATAATATCTACCTCAGTCGATGGTTTGAAAACACTAGTGGGATGGGGTAACGATGCAACTACGTGCATGTACCCCGGGTACGCACCCCTACGTACAGTCGATCCAGTTGGTCCACGGCGGCGATCCAGCGTAGCGTAGTGCAAGGCCGCGGTGGACACCGATACGGCGTACTACTCACGGCGTGCCGTTCGCTCGGGCGATCACTGCAATGCTACTCCACACTACACATCAGTCACTCATTCACTCGCAATGTAAATGAGTTCAATACACTAATATTTGATGGATTAAAACTAGTTTCATTCTTAGTTGCCCATGGTTTGCCATATGAGATTGTGGAAACAATTTCCAGAATTTTTTTAAAGTATTCAGATTCACGGGCCAGTGACTGTGAAACTATTCCATTCACTGTAGATTTTTCTCCAATTTCTTCCGCTTTTTAGAGGCAGCAAATCCACTGGTAACGACAACGCTACAAAATAATAACAATAATGAATGGGTTGGTGGGTCGTTCATTATTGTTTAAATAACACAGTAGTTCATCTACTTCCAGCGAGTGTGCAATAACAATAATGGATCTTAAACATTACTATTGCGTGTACAGCAGATTTGTTCAATTCCATCATGACTCAGAGAACGGGACACGAGATAAATAGCACTCTACCGTACATTGCCAACAGTTGTAAGAAGTTAACTAATGAGCCCTTGGATAAAGCCTAATTTTATAAGTTAATTTGTCGTTTGAAATAACCTTTCTGAATTTTCCATTTCAGAAGTTTGGGAATTTACTTAAATTTACAAAATTAGATCAGCCTTACTGAACATTCCCCCTGCTATAGTAGTTTATAAAATAGAACTTGAACTTCCGAATGATGATAACGTCAGTTTTACCAATGACCAATGGGAAACGTTTTAACCCAAAATCTTTAAGACAATTTGAATTCCGCGACTTTCTCTGTAGCCCAAAGTTGTTCAGTCGCATAAAACGTTTGAACACAATACCTGGTATTTGGAATTAGTTTTCCAATCTATTGAGCAGATTTACAACAAACAACATATTTTGAATTGCTAGTGTATTATTAACTAAATAATTATTAAGCTGAATTCATTAAACGAGTAGCTGATATAATGTAAACATAAATGTAGCCACCGTATATTAGTACTTCTAAACTCCAGACAGTATACTGCACAAATACATTTTCTAGACAGATTTTATTAACTATAATAATGTATAAGGGAGCGGTTACGGCCAATTTTGCCCGATCGAGTATGGAACGAGCGCCTTAATAAAATAAACCAGAGCACGCTAACGTATGTGTTATGCAGTTGAGTTAAGGGTCATCATGATAAATCATAGTGTCTTGATTTTCCAGCAAATCATATCACTAATATTAATTAGTAACTAACTCTTCTTTTCTTTCCCGGGAAGATGCCGGGAATGTACACAATGAATTCCATGTTGAATAAACAACTTGAAGCATTTGAATAAGGGACACCACTGGTGATATCCGACAATATAATGAATATTCGAGAGCCATTATTTTGTATCTCTTTAAATATATGCAGAATTTCTGTGTTTTTCCCGTTACCTTTTCGCATTCTGTTGATTTCTATTCAATATTGTGGTTCTTTTTACGAACCTTCGCTGACAAGTTGACTCTAAAACGACAGTACGATGACTTAGCTCGATCATCAATTGAAATAAGGCACATTCACAATATAAATGTGTTTTTGTCATATATCATCACAGCTCATTATAATTAAGCAGTTTGATAATTTGCTAAATCTCCATGATACTAGGTTATAACAGTCCAGGCAATATCATCCATTTAAGTTGATAATTTAACAACCGAACTGTAGTGATGACGCAACATGCTACTTTATATTTTGAATAACCCGCTCACGGACAACGGTTACGGCGTTAGATTTTAGCCTTTAGCTAAACGGGATTACCAGGATATTGAATTGGTTTCCCTGATATTATAAGTCAAGAGATATCGGAAATATATTATTAACTGTGTTGAACTAGTAGTACGGCTGTTAATAGTTTTCTCCAAAACCAACACTGGTTTTTTGAACTGAATTATTTGCTGAATATATAATTTAGCAGAAACATAAAACGTGTATAAATATATTTTGTTATTACTAGAGCTAGGAATTGAGAGATTGAAGTTTAAAGTTGACGAATAGAAATTTCAAAATCTTTCAAAAATTGTGCCTACTGTTAAATGGTATGATTTGTTGTTGAGTTGATAAATCCGTGTGATGTATTAATTTATGGAATATATATTGCACTGAGAGATACATGCATCGTAGTGTGACACAAACCAAATTCTGTGTTCACCTCACACTCGTCTTTATTGAAAATGAATCCATAGAATATGATGAGTTTAATTAATCATATATATGTATATATTATTATATCGCTTATAACAGGGAAACTAAATACTGAAAATAAACGCAATACGGGTAATCTAATATATTCCTCGTACCACGCACTGAAAGTAAAAATAAAATGACTATGCACGATGAAAAAAATATTTCAAAATAACGAGTAGTCAATGCTTGTTAAATAAGCAATGGCCAGCAGGGAAACTCCCTTTTCAGTAAATCGACATGATTTATGCAGTGAGTAAATATAACGGCGTCAAATAACGGAAGTATGGCAATAACAATAAAACTTGTTATTGTTTACAAAACCCTTCTATGTGTTCGCGTGGAAGGTCAATCACGATTACGTTTGTCATATCGATTAACACCATTGTTATCACGGATTAGAAGTTTATCTCAAGCACTTTTTCGGAAACTAAAAGGTACAATGTCCGCTCGCCTATGGGTGACAGCTATTGAATTTTCCCGAATGAATCCAATTATTTAATTGAATAATATGATTTCATCGGAAAAATTGAAACTATGATATATAATGATCTAATTTCAATCAACTAGACATATCACATTTCATTTAAACGCTGAAGAAAACAATAACAGGTGTATACGTTGAAGGCGATTATCATGAAGTTCGATTTGACTAGAAACATTTATGTGGTGGTAAGTAACGATTCTGTATACCATTTTGACTATTATGTCTTTTAGATTTTTACATGTCGCAATGTGTGATAAGCTGGTGTGCCACTGGAAAAGATTAATTCAAATGCCAGATAGTGTGAGAAGAATGTATATCCTCAATCATCGATAATCCGAAAAGTCTACTAATTCCATAATGATAACTATGCTAAATGTTTTCTTCACGTCATTCAGACCTTGATGATTTGTGAACATGAATTTTGTTTTTCTCTACACAGGCATTTGGTGTGATGTTTGTAGTGCTGAATTCTGTTCAGGCAACACCTGCCTGTCAAGACCCAACTGATGCCGAACTTCGCCAAATGCTGAGCATTTATTCTCCTAACGGAATTGGTTTCATTGCAACAAGCGGTGCGTACGATTCACCAGCCGACACTTCCTGTCCACTGACGTACAGCAATGGAGCTTCGTTATCAACACGGTCCACTTGCCCCTTCTATCACTTACACAACACCGACACACTGCGATACCCTCCAACAATGCTGGACGTCAAGTGTTATGATTGTGACAAATGCATCTCAGATTTGAGTCCAAGTTATCAACATCCAAAATGGAAATGCGAACGTGTTATGCAGAGTGTATGGGTTTTACAAAAAACGGAAGTGTGTATCAACGGTGTATACCAGTATAATGCAGTGCAGACTAACGTTGCTGTGTCTTGTGCTTGTGGCAGGAAACGTATTTGATTGGCTGTTAATTCAGTCACTGGTGTCAAAATTCAAACTGAACGATTATGACCGTCATTTAGAATTAATTTGCTTTCTTTTCAGATAATATACATATTATCTTTATTAAACTTGCCAATTTGTTAGCGTAGGTGCTAAAATACTTAAAACTGACTAATTAGTTCAACGTATCATTGTAAACGAAATATGAACCCAACCAGCATTATTTGGACACAATAACCATAACTACTGGAAATTGTAAGCTGGTATTTATACCAATTAGCATTATTGCAATACTGCTTGTTGGGTTGCTTTTGTGTTCATAGTTAGTTACTATTATTAACAATCATAATGACATTTCTATTATATTAATTTGTTTTTTAGTTATCGAATTTGTAATCATTTTTTGCAAGGTCGATATCTCAACCAGTCCTTCTGTGCATGCGTGGTTTGCACGCTCACTATATGACACTATATATTCGGCAACTGAGTCAACAACACTGTGAACAACGACGGAATGATTATATTATTATATTTTTTATTCAGACCATGCAAGTTATGTGTACGTACAGTAGTCACGTTTTAGTGACAATACGTTTACAATTACATTTTAGCAGGTAGATGGAATCTAATTTAACCGAGAACTACGTTCATTGAACATTTTCTTATTTAGTACATGGATCTGATATTGTTATATATTTTCTTCTGTTTTCATGAATACTTCAGTACTGAATAAACGTTACTATTACATGCATATTCAAGTCAAGTTCAAGTCAAGTGTGGTGATTATTTTTAACTGATTGAAATTATCTTTTCTACACAACGTTTTCTACCGTTCATGTGTGTTGCTGGCGATGGCTTGTTTTTTTGTAATCCCTGCTCTTTCCATTCTCAGTTACAATGCACATGAATGGCCATTGTATACATTTCAAGCTAAATTGTTGAATATGGTAATGAAATGGATCTAATTCAATTCGAACGAACGGAAATTTATTACTTGGAAAAGATTTCAATTCATTCGATGAGAACGTAAATGTAAGCATATACTGCTCATAACGTTACATGTAATGTTGCCCATTAAATTATGTATCTATACATTCAAATATATAGTTACGAAACGCTGGATTTTACCTCACCCATTGTAGACGATATCAACTTGTTAATGTGCCTCGTGCTAAATGACAACAATTTACTTTCAAGTATATTGTATTTTAATTATACCCAGTTGGTTGTGACTTGTATTGCCATCGAATATGCGTGCCATGAATGTATCTTGGCATGGTGTATTGTGTCATGTGACATGATATTCATTACGTTATAATGTTCTTATTCCATTTTTATTTTGAAAGTCAATATGAACTCCTATAACATAGTAAATCAAAATACATCAATGACTCCAAGTAATACAATCGTTTTTTGTCACTAAAATGTGACTACTATAAAATACAATACGTTCATTATTAAATAACTTAAATTTAATAAGTTAAAAATTGTACACACATTTAATAAGCTAATCTACTTGATTACAAAGTTTCGCGTATAGATGACGTCACTGGTATTGCAGTTACTTCATGCGTGAGACATTCGCATGGTGCAAAACTGTCTTCTGACCATTCACCTATGAAATGAGTGTATATTACATTAATTGCCATTTAAACACGATTCCTGCCACATGTACAAGACACGGTAATGTCGATCTGCACTGCATCATACTAGAATATAGTGTTGATACACACTTCCGTATGTGTAAAACCCACATACTTTGCATAGCACGCTCACATTCCCAAAGTGGGTGTTGATGGGTTGAATCAAATCTAAGACGCAGTTCTGACAATCATAACATTGGCCTTTCAACATATTTGGTGGGTACCTAGATATGTCGTTGTTTTCTAAGTAGTGGAATGGACAATTGGACCGTATTGGTAAAATAGCTCCACTGCTGTACGTCAGAGGACAGGAAGTGTTTGATGGAACGCACTGCTATTTGTACTAAAGCCGTTCCCGTTAGGAGAATAAGTGCTCAGATAATAAACCCTTGGATGAAGACTACTTTTATAAGTTAATTTATCGTTTAAATAACCGTCCTGAATTTTCCATTTCAGAAGTTATGTAATTTGCTTAATTTACGAAATGATATCAGCTTTACTGAACATTTCTCTTGCTATAATAGTTTTAGAACTTGGAAACAGATATTGATTTCCGAATCACGGCGACCATTTACGATTAATGAAGACGTCGTTTTTTTTCGGTGACCAATGGGAATTGTTTTAACCGAAAAGTTTTAAGACAAATACCACAATATCTGGTATTTGGAATTAGTTTTCCACTCTATTGAGAAGATTTACAACAATCAATATATTTTGAATCGCTAGTGAATTTTTAACGAAATAATTATTAGATATAATGAAACAGAAATAAGCTCCCGTATATTAGTATTTGTATACTTCAGGCAGTATACTACACAAATACGTTTGCTAGACAATTTTAATAGCATTTATTAATTCATAAGGAAGTGGTTATGGCCTTCCTTTTTGTCTGATCGAGTAGGGAACCTGCGCGCTGAATAAAATAAACCAGAGCGCGCTAACATGTGTGTTAACATTTCTTCGGTTGAGTGGAGGTTCATCATAATAAATCACAGTGTTTTGAATTTCCATCAAATTTCAATCATATCACTAATATGTATAAATAACGAACTCGTCTTTCTTATTTCCCGGGACGATTTCAGGAATGTACACAATAAATACCAACCTGAAACTGGTGATAGCCAACAATATAATGAATATCTACGATCCATTATTTTGTATCTCTTTAAATATATGCAGAACTTCTGTGTTTTTTTTTTACCGTTACCTTTTCGCATTCTGTTGAAATGTATTCAATAATATGGTTCCTTATACAATCCTGTGCTAACATGTATTAGTTGATTCTAAAACGACAGTACGATGACTTGACTCGATCATGAATTGAAATAAAGTACATTCACAATGCAAACGTTTTTTACCATATATCATGGCAGCTCAATATAATAAAGCGTGATAATTTGCTATATCTCCATACTAGGCATGGCAATATCATCATACCCTTGTAAGCAGATAATTTAACGCCGGAAATGTAGTGATGCCGCGAAAAATAAGTGTATTTATTAATTGGAACAGGGTAAACCGATCGTTCATTTACGGTGATAGGTTCTGTGAATGAGCCACAGCATGCTACGATATTTTGAATAACGCGCTCACGAGTAACGGTCATTGCGTTAGATTTTAGCATTTAGCTAACCGGAATTAATAGGATATCAAATTCGTGCCCGTGATATTGTCACGCAAGAAATATCCGATATAAATTATTACCGTTTTTGTACTTGTAGTATGACTGTTAATATTTTTTTTCTCAAAACCGACACTGGTTTTTCTGAACTGAATTATTTGCTGAATGTACAATTTAGATGCGAAATAAAATAGATATTGCATTCTTCTGTAAAGTGCAGGTTCAATAACAAAATATAGCTCATATTGGGTGATTATACTAAGATCACACAGTCTGTTCCAACAAACAACTGCAGCTTTTATGAATAATCGATACTGTTGAACCTGTATAAAAATAGTTTTTATTACTAGAGTTAGGAATTGAGAGATTGGAATATACATGCATCGTAGTATGGTACACACGAAATTCTGTATTCCCCTCACACTTGTCTTTATTGAAAATGAATACCGAGGATGTGATGAGTTTAATTAATCGTATATATGTATATATACAGGAAAAATTAGCAAAAATAAACGCAATACGGGTAATCTAATAGATTCCTCGTATTACGCGCTGAAAGTAAAAATAAAATGATTATGCGCGATGAAAAAAAAATACTTCAAAATAACGAGTAGTCAATGCTTGTTAAAAAAGCAATGGGCATCAGGGAAACTCCCTTTTCAGTGAATTGATTGAAATGGTGAGTAAATATAACGGCGTCAAATAACGGAAGTATGGCATTCATTGTTTACAAAACTCTTGTATGTGTCCGTGTAGAAGGTCAATCACGATTGCGTTTGTCATATAGATTAACACCATTGTTATCACGGGTTAGATGTTTATCTCAATCACTTTCGCGGAAACTAAAAGGTGAAAATGGAGTTACAATGCCCGCTCGCCTATGGTTGACAGCTAATCCAATTATTTAATTTAATAATATGATTTCATCGGAAAAATTAAAACGATGATATATAATGATGTAGTTTCATTCAACTAAACATATCACATTTCATTTAAACGCTGAAGATTACTTACAGGTGTGTAAATTAAAGGCGATTATCATGAAGTTCGATTTGACTAGAAACATTTATGTGCTGGTAAGTAACATTTATTTATATCGTTTTGACTACTATGTATTTTAGATTATTACAATGTCACAATCTGGAATAAACTGGTGTGCTACTTGAAAAGATTAACTCAAGTGCCAAATATTGTGAGAAGAATGTATATCCTCAATCATCGATAATCCGAAAAGTCTACTAATTCCATGATGATAACCATGCTAAATGTTTTCTTCACGTCATTCAGACCATGATGATTTGTGAACATGAATTTTGTTTTTCTCTACACAGGCATTTGGTGTGATGTTTGTAGTGCTGAATTCTGTTCAGGCAACACCTG